AAAGGTAACAGTCATTGCCTGTCAAGGCTCCAAAGGGAGAAGGGGTTTCTTATATAATTTTTAAATTCTAGACAGTCCAGAAAACCAGCTATGATCATTTTCCTAAAGGGAGTAAAGAGGAGATAAAAATAAACTAATATAAATTGAGGACCATGTCCCACACAAAGTTATGAAAGAGGCAGAAATACCTTCTTTTTACGAATAAAAAAAATTGAACCAGAGAGAAGATTCTAGATAGCCTACTTTTCAAATACACAAGATTTACCCCTTGGAAGTCTTCAAAGTTGACGCACTGAGCCCTATAGAGCTGAAATAAAAGATTTACTGTGTAGGTTGGGATTTTTGTTGTGCATCTCATATTTTAAACAATAGATTTCATGGCATATAATTCATATACCATAAAATTCACCCTTTTAAAGTGTGTGATTTGTGATTTTAATATATTCATAATTTTTGCAGCCATTATCATTATCTTAGTTCACATTTCCACTATTCCTGAAGTAAGCTCCGTACGCATTAATGGTTCTTCTCCCCTGGCAAACACTAATCTGTTCTCTTTTTCTATGGCTATTCCTATGATGGACATTTTAAATAAATGGGAACTTAAAATAGATGGTCCTTGTGACTGGCTTCTTTCTTGTCAATATTTTCAAAGTTCACCCATCTATGCCAGAGATTCAGCCCAGTGGTTCCACTGCCTGCCCTGCAAGTGCAAGGACCCGAGTTCAATCTTTGCTACCCCCCCAAAAAAGTTCACTCATCTTCATATTTTACTTATTACAATGTACTGATGTACCACATTTTATTTACCCATTCACTAGTGGATGGGGATTTGAATTTTTTTCCCCATTTTACCTATCATGAATTTTGCTACAATGCACATTCATGTTCAAGTTTTTGTTTTGATATACATTTTCTTTTCTCCTCAGTGTACACCTAGAAATGAAATTTCTGGGTCACTCTATGTTTGTCCTTTCAATAAATTGTCAGATATTTTGCAAAGTGGCTGTACCATCTTATATCCCCACCATGGATGGGGATATGAAGTATGAAGTGGTGATCTAATTTTTCCACATCTTGTCAATACCTGTTATTGTCTGTCCTTTTGATTATTGCCATCCTAGTGGGTGTGAAGGGATATTTTGTTGTCATCACCATTTTGTTAATAAAATTAATTTTTCAGAGCATTTTTAGGTTTACAGAAAAATTGTGCAGAAATGCAGTTGCCATGTCTTCCCCATCCCCAACCTTTGCAGTTTCCCCTGTTCTTAACATCTTGTATTAGTGTAGTACATTTGCTATAATTAATGAGCCAGTGTTATGCATTATTGTTCATTGAAGTGCATAGTTTACAGTACAGTTCATTCTTTGAGTTATACAGCTCCATATTTTGACAAACACATAATTTTATATAGCCTGCATAACAATATCATTTAGGAATTGTTTCACTGCCCTAAAAATCCCCTGTGCTCTATCCATTAATACTTTCCCCTTGGAAGGAAACCCTGATGTTTCTATATTCAGTAGTTTCACTTTTTCCAGTCTTATAGATGGAATCATACAGTATACTGCCCATTCAGAGTGGCTTTTTTGGGTTAGCAAGTTTCCTTCACCTCTTTTTTTTTTTTTTTTTAGTGCTGGGGATCTAACCCAGGGCCTTGTGTCTGCCGGGTAAGCGCTCTACCTCTGAGCTCCCTCCCCTGCCAGCCCTGGGCATTTAAAAAGAAATTTTTATCACTTAGTAATAATTCATAGTATGGATGATGGTCATAACATATCCATTCCCCTGCTGAGGCACATCTTGCTTGCTCCCAAGTTTTGACACTTATAAATAAAGCTGCTATAAACATTCATGTGAAGGTTTTTCTGTGACGTAAAATTTCAACTCATTTAATACCTACAAGCAGTTTCTGGGTCGTATTATAATAGTATGTTAGCTTTGCAAGACATTGGAAAATGGCTGTTAACAGAGATAAACATGGCTGAACAATGGCGAAACTACCATTCTGCACTCCCATCAGTAATGAAGTTCCCATTGCTATTTGTCTTCACTAGCCTGATGGTGCTAGTGGTTTGGATTTTAGCCATTCAAATAGATGTGTAGTGGTAACTCAGGTCGTTTTCATTCACAATCCTCTAATCCCATGACATGGAGAAGCCTTTCTGTTGCTATTTTCCATCTGTACCTTCTTAAGTGTCTTCTCAGATAGATCTTTTGCCTTTGTTTTCTTACTGTTGAGTTTTAAGAAGACACTTAGATTTCCTCTTATGTTATTTTGCAGCAGTTTTATAGATTTGCACTGTACATTTAGGTCTTATCTATGAAGCATTTTTATTTAATTTTTTTGCCATAGATGTAGATTTTATGTCTAGGATTATCTCACCCATGGATATTCTGTTGTTCTGGTATCATTTGTTGAAAAGATTACTGGAAAGATACTGTTTATTCGCTGAGTTGCCTTTGCTCCTTTGTCAGAGATCAGTTAATTATATTCATGGGGATCTGTTTCTGGGCTCCCTGTTCTGTTGCATTGATTTGTCTGTTCTGTCACCGATATCACAATGTCTTTGTCACTATACCTCTGTAGTAAGTTTGTTGGGTACTGTCAGTTCTGTGACTTTGTTCTTTAGATTGATTTGGCTATTCTGGGTCTTTTGCCTTAACACATAAATTTTAGAATAAATTTATTTATAGCCACAAAATAACTTGCTAGGACTGTGTTCAAACTATAGATCAACTTGGGAAGAATTGATACCTTGACAATATTGAGTCTTCCTGTTCCTAGACATGGAATATCTCTTCATTTATTTAGATCTTCTTTGATTTCTTCAGCATCTTATAGTTTTCCTCATCTTTTATGAGGAAATGAGATTTTACACATTTCATTTACTTGTATCTAAGGTTTTCTCTTTTTTGTGCTGACATAAACAATTTTTTCTTCAAATTTTAATTGTTCATTGCTAGGATATAGAAGAGCAGTTGACTTTTTAAATATTGACCTTGTGGTCTACAAACTTGCTATAATCACTAATTTTATGTGCTTGTTGTTGGGAGCACATTAAGTTTTATGTATTTCTTAAATCAATAAAAATAGGAAGAAAACTCCTTTAAACAGCAAGCAAACTTGCACACTGATAGACTGCAAATGGGCCACAGAGCTACTCCGGAACCAGAGAGAACTAATCCAAGTAACTGTTGAACATGTCTCTGACTATGTCCTCCAAGTTAAGGGACAAGGAAACAACCTCAAGGAAATCTGAATGTCTTTTCAGGAGATTCATTTGTGGTAGTTGAATGGGTGAAATAATATAAATTAGTCCGATAGAGTTAAGTAGATAAAGGTGCTGATGTGTTGGGACCCAGGTGCTCCCTGGAGGAGAGGCAGACACAGAGGTGGAATGGAGTCACGTGAGGACTGCCCTGGCATTGCAGATGCCAGCATAAGCTCCTGGTTTCTAATAGAATGCAAATGTGTGTATGCGTGTGTGTGTGCACTCCTGCTTGGATCACAGATGGATTTCTGGTTCTGATGGCCGAAAGGGCCTAGAGACAAACATAGCCTATGTGTCCACCTGGCACCCAGATCTTGGACTCAAGCACCCTTCCCCACTAAACGGAGGATGGGCTCCTTGCAGAGTGGCTGATTTCAAGGCTGTGCCAAAGAGAAGTACAGATGGGCCCAGAATATCTCGTTACGGCAGAAACTGAAAAAGTGCCAAATAAATAAATCAGTGCATGTCAAAAAGACAAATGAGCCAGCTTGAAGGGGCTTTCATTGATCAAATCTGGATCAATTTGAGTATCAAAATAATTAATAATAATTATAAATTATAAACCACTGAAAGCTAGGAATCCTTTTGTTGTTGTTGTAAAAGATCAAGACAGGCTGAGGAGCTATACCAGATTAAAGGAGACTAAAGAAATGGTGAGTGCGGTGTGCGATTATAAGGTAGATCTGTACTGAAGGAAAAAAATCTGCAACAGAAAACACTACTGGGTCATTTAACAACATTGAAATATAGGTGGTAGAGCACAGTATTGGATCATTGTTAAATTTCCTGAAGTTGTGTGCTGGGGATTTAGCTCAGCGGCACTGCATCTGCCTCCCAAGTGCAAAGTCCTGAGTTCGATCCCTGGTACCAAAAAAAAGAAAAGATTTCCCGAAGTTGCTAACACTATTTATGGTTTTCTAAAGGAATCTTCTTGTTGTTAAGAATATCCTTTAATTATTTAAGGATAATGAGTCATATATTCAACTTACTCTCTGGTGGTTTGGAAAGACAATTCACACAAAATTGCACATCTGTGCCTGGGCTCATGACTTTGTATGTCATGATAAAGCGAACGGCAAAAAGCCAGTCATTGATCTGTGTAACACAGATAGAGTTTCTTTATAGTATTCTTGCAACTTTTCTGTAAGATTGGAATTCTTCCAAATAGAGTTGGTGTTCAGCATGTACAAAAATTTCAGGGTAACAGAGCAGATTTTTTAAGTGGAAGGTATGGTAATGCTGAATATTTTGGCAGACTGTCATATGGAAGGAAGATTTAAAATCTGAATTTGGCTAATCTTATTTCGGGCCGGCCTCCTCTGAGTTGTCATCACAGCAGACCTGAGAGCTGGGGCCGGAAGGAGAGGATGAAGCTCTTTCACTTCCTGGAGTCCAGGATGTTTGGTGCGGCATCCCCAGCCTTGAAGGACTCACCAGAAAGAAAAGGACGAGGGGCTGGGTGAAGGAGGATGGGGTGGCCAGGGTAGCAGGGCCCTGTCTGCCGATGGCTTTCAAGTGTTCTTCAGGTCAAAGCTACAGCATTGTGTCTGGCCTGGGAATGGTCTGCTACAAGCCCTCAATCTCATTGAAACCTTCTCTGTTTTTTTCAGGTGAGGAAATTGGTCCCCAAAGTCATAGTATGTAAGATAATGAAAGGTGTAATGTGTGTTTAATATCAAAACCACACCATTTTTAATGAAAAAAAAGTACTAAGATCCACACATTTGTACTGCTGTACAATCTGGAGTAATATATAATTTTAAGCTGTTTACAAATAACATGTAATGCTTCAAATATTACATAAGGTTGATAATACATTTCTAGCAGAAATAAATATATTGCACTTAAAAAGAACTTCATTAGATGTTACTTCATAGTATTAGGCTTATAACTTTGTTTTTTCCATAAAACATTTCCCATGCCCGGCCCCCCAACCCCGACACACACTTCATTATGGTGACTGTTCTCGCGCAATCCGTTAAGCAAATGAAGACACAGCACACAAAAAACTGTGACAGTCTGCTAAAGAGGCTACATCCAATTTCATCCTCTCAGAAATAAAAGAACTCTTTTATGTTTCTGAAAATTAAAAAAAAAACCAAATACAGTATGTGAATGTACCAAAAGTAAAATACAACACATTGTACTATTTATTGTCCAGATGTATTATCTCACAAATTTTTTTTATTTTCCTGTTCCCAGGGTACTCTATTTATAAAAGGGTGGGGATTAAAATTATTTGAGGGACAGACAGAGAACAAAGGCTGGAAAATACTTGTGGATTATGTGCCCACCAAATATTTATAAATGAATACTATATTTAAGCATGCTGAAGAAAGATAAGCATTGGAATATTTTATAGCTGGCCCAGACTAGTAAATGAAGAAAGAGTTTTATGATTTTCTAAAGTTTTAAGAGTTTTTAGCCTTTCCTTTGCTGGCTTACAAAAACTCCTTTCCTTCTCAAGCAATATAAAAGTTCATATAAAACCTACCCTCCTTTCAGGCACAGTTCTCTAGAGGAGTAAGCTGAAAATCTCTCTAGCGCTTTGTCTAGATTTGAAGCATACTATTATTTTGTTTTAATATTTATCAATCCCCTGCCCATTTAACAATGAAAATAATTTTCCTTATTTAGTCATTGGAAGATGGAATAAAAATAGTTTTCTTGCAATATATTACCCTGTACACTACAGAACTGATTAATTGCAGCTTTAGTTATTGAGTCACTGCGAAGCTTGTCTTTGTGTTTTTATTTTTCAGTACTGGGCATTGAAGCCTTCGCAATGAGTGAATCCCCAGCATTTTTTTTTTTTTTTTTGGTACTGGGAATTGAACTAAGGGCCTTACGCTTGCCAGGCAGGTGCTGTGCTGCTTGGGCCACATCCTCAGCCCCTAGTCCTTTCTGTATTTTGAGGAAAAGCATCTCGCTAAGTTGCTCAGCTGCCTAGGCTGGGCTCAAACAGAGTGCAAGGACTACAGCCGTGCACTATCACACCTGACTACCTCTATGACTTTAATAGGGTGATAGTCATTCCACCCACTTTGAAGGTGATTTTCCTCAATATAATTCAGCTAGTCAGCCTAAAAAAGCTCATGTGTGGCACAGAAATGGGGTAAACATCCTTACAGCTCTCTCTCAGATCCATAAGCAGGATGTGACGATAATGCTTCACATCTAAGACTGTTTCTCAGATGTTTTTATTTTTGTTTAGGGCAGGAGCTGGAGAAACAAAATGACAGAGATGGGAGTCAAGGTGGAAGGAGGGAGACCTTGAAATATGCAGCTCCTACAGAGGACTTCGGTGAGATGAAGAATCATTATCAGGAGGCTTCTTAATACCACATACTCAGTGCCCACCTAGTAGGAGTGATGGGCTTACAGACCTTGCACCTGTGCTCTCAACTCAAATAAGCCAGCAACACAACACAAAGTTATGAGTCTAGACTGCATCGCCTAATCTTTTGTGGCATCTTAGATGCAAGCTAAGTATTTTTACTTATGTACTGCTAAGAGTTGGCAGAGGAGGAAAGATTTACTAAATAATTTTAAAAATCAGTGAACTTAGAAGTATTGATAAATGTTTAAAAGCAAATCACAAATGCAGAACCTAATTAGTTATGAATTAATTAAAGTTCAGTAAAGTGAGTCTGGCAGGTCCTGCTCCCTGTGACAGTGCTGCACATCAGCAGTATTTTTTGTGATACTGTAATAAACTTAGAGGGAAAACCCTGAGTTTATTCCAAATATATGATAAGTCGTGGTTATTATTATTCAGTCAGCTTTCCCACTAACTATCTAGTTCTAGCAGTCCCTTTTGGTACAACAGTCTTTGGAATTTCACACACTAACCTCCCTCCTGAGGGGTTAATCAGAACCGAAAACCACCACAGTCCAGAAGGGCCAGTGGGTGGAGCTCCTGTCCCCATGGCTACAGCAGCTGTGGTTCAGTTCAGCTCTATTTCCCTTGTGCTTCCTCTCTCTGGTGCAGGTGATGTCTACACTGAAAATATAGACCTAATTCAGAATTTCAGGTCAGATTTTTCCCAAGAGTATGCTTTGCTTTCTCCTCCAAGGAAAGTCTACTTACCTCAGTTTCCAGTTGCTTAACAAACACAACAAAGCCATATAGTCAGGAAATACTTGTACAAAACCATATTTAACAAAAGACTCGTAAACACGGATGGAGAGAGCTGTCAAAATAGGATTGAAATAATCCTTTCATTCTCTTTGAAAAGAAAATCCAGACAGATTCACTTTAGGAGACTTTAGGAGACAAGGAATTTATCAAGGTATTGGATAGCATCATGTAAAAAAGCATCTTTTGTTATTCCTGCTTTAAGCAGCAGTGCTGAATTCAAAGGAGCAGTGGCAACAAGCCAATTAAATATTAAACCCCTATCCTAGCTCTATGGGTATTTATTTTAAACATTGCCTGTAACTGCCTTTTAAAAGAAATGCACATCTATACTTTGTTTGAAAACAAACTACCCATGGATACTGTATAACATGCAGGAAGCTACAAATGAGTGTTTGGCACAGGACTTTGAAATGCTTGGCTAACACATCCATGCTTCTTTGCAAGTAAACTTTGGGATTCAGTGGAGGTGGCAAGTGCAAAATCCGACAACAGCACCACGTAGTCAGGGTATGCCATGATGCCCTGTGTCACAGGCTGGACAAGCTCAGTCAAGGCAGTTGATATAGACAAAGCTAACATTAACATAACCAAATAAAATCCCACAGGAGCTGATGTGAAAAGTATATTGCATTTACCCCCAAATATACTCCTGTTGTCAGTAGCAATATCTCCCATCTCTTTTAACAGATTCGATACTTTTGCAGTAAGAAAGGAATAGAATGGAAATGACATACAAAAATTAAATTAGGGTTTTGGGGAAATTTGCTAAGAACACAGATTACATTCTGTGGCTGGGAAGCATTATGTCCAAAGTTGAAAGATTATTAACTTCATTAAGTCTCTATTATTAGAGAAATTAACTGTCACAAATGACCAAATGTTCTACCCTGATTGTAAATGCTAAGATATATGTTGCTCTAAAAAAAAACATACAAGTTATATAGAACCATATAGAACTAAAATATAATTGACTACTATTACATGCATTAAAGGAAGGCTTAAGAAGGTATGAGTTGAAAATAAAGTGGATAAAGCTTTAATTTACTTATAAGAACTGCTAATGTGTCAGCCAGGGAGTCACTGAGTTAACATGCAATTTCACATTAAGGACTCAGAAAAATGGTAGAGGAGTCTCTAAACATAACACAGTAAGAAAACAGGATGAATTAACTACATAGTCCATGACTGCTCATGAGCGTATGTTAAATTGTGGCTTTCTCAGCACCGAAATGGTCATTCTCAAATCCCTGGGACAGTGGCAGCAGCAACAAAGCAGATTTATCAAAAATGAGAATTTGGCCCAGTGCACTTTTACATCCAGAAAGTTTCCCAAAACTGAAGGGGACCTGGAGGGGCCTTTGACTTCCACGGCAGGGAAATTCCTTTGGAAAAAAGACAGCTATCTTTTTGTTGCGGCTGTGAGAGAAAGCAAGCCCCGCGCACTGCATGTGGAGGCTGTGCAGTGCTCTCAGTGGATGGGTCAGCAGAATGCAAACCTCAGTTCTGCACAGGAACACAGACAACCATTGCTTCAGCATTGTATTTGGAAGATTTTTCCTATATCACTGGCAAGTAGCTGCAAGGAAGAGGGGTAGGAAGAAAGAAGACAACATTGAACACCAAGCTGGTTGAGCGTAGGTCCGTCAGTATTGCAAGAAGAGCTTGGTGAAGGCAACACCACGTCTTCATCCACACAACAGGATGCATCAGAATGATCTCAGCTCCTTCCCCAGGGAACTAATATAAAGGAAATGAAACATGCTTAAGCTACAGCACTACAAATATTTCTCTATGGGCTCTCATTTCCCATAGGTAGAAATGGACTGAAGTTAGTCATATGGTCAGTATTGCCTCTCTGAAGATTCTTTTAACCTGTGGAAAACAGAAAGAAAACCTATACACATTGATTTTATACATTATTACATCAACACAGCATTTTTAGCCACTAGGACGAATGTACTTTAAGATTTGTCTGCCTTGTAGAATTAACCTTTCTGGGTAAATTGATATCCTATTACTTGCAAGACTTAGGTTGGCTAAGAACTTAACAATGATTCTCTCCTGAACCCAAGAGCTGTCTTCCAACTGCAGATGAATCCTGGTCCACAGCACATTCCTGTAGCAGTAGATTCTATCGTGAGTCTAGCTCTCTTCTTGAATAGATCCCGTGTTTCCTAGAGAGCACCTGCTTCAACACTGTACATGCCGCCCACCCAACCCTGTCCTCTACTTCTATACCCACTTGCACATTCTGGATCCAGATGCTCCACTTCTGGAAGAGTCATACAAATGGTGTCATCACAGCAGAGGAATGGCGCAGTCCTTGGATGGCAGCATAGGGCCCTTGCTGGAAGTAGTGATGGTACCTCGGCATGTGGAAGGAAGGGAAGGTAGGACCACTCCCCTGCATGGAGGTGGCAATGGCGGATGGGGTCAGAGGCATCCCCAGGCGGCTGTAGGGTGGCAGAGAGCCCTGTATGGGGTGCGGAATGGGTGTTGCTATGGACGCTGTGCTGCTGCCAAGAGCGGTCAGGGGTTGTGGGTGCTGAAATCCCGGAAAACTGGAAGAAGATGATACCCAGGAGCTGAGTGACAAGTTGTCAGATGTCGTAAAGGCTGACCCTGTAAGGAAGAGCACTCGTTAGGCTGGAAATGCTATTTCAGTGTGCACATCAAAGACAAGGTTATTTTCAAAAAATATTTAACCGGTCTGCAATTGAAAAAGACAAACATGCATGAGATTTTTTCAGAGGGCAAATCTACCTTTCTAGATAGCAGGATAACGTTTACTTCCGCATGGAAGAAAGAATTTACTAAATGGAAAAAGATTTAACTCACTTGATGCCTGCATGTTCCCAATGTGGCCCAAACACTGGTGCCTTTCCTACAGGCAGTGACCTGATTCCCTTAAAAGGAGCTCCAAACATCTGACGTTTCTCCTCACCTCTACGGCATCTCCATAAGAAAGCCTAGCTTTTCTTTTTGTTGGTATATTTAAGATAAAATAGGGGAAACACTTGAAGATATAGGCATAGGCAAGGACTTCCTGAATAGTACTCCAATAGCACAAGAAATAACACCCAGAATCAACAAATGAGATGGTATTCAATTAAAAAGCTTCTGCACAGCAAACAAAAGAGTTAACAGAGTGAAGAGACAACCCACAGAATTGAGAAAAGTTTTTGCCAGTTACTCTTTTGATAGAGGATTAATATCTAGAACATACAAAGAACTCAAAAAAGTTAGACCCCCCCCCCAAACAAATGCCCCAATTGAAAAGTAGGCCAATGAAATAGTCACTTCTCAAATGGAGCACAGATAGCTAACAAATAAATGAAAACATGGTCAGCATCTTTAGCCATTAGGGAAGTACAAATCAAAACAACTTTGAGATTCCATCTGATACTAGTAATGCTGACTATCATCAAGGACACAGGGAAGTATAGGTGTTTAAGTCTCAATAAAGCTACCTGGTTTCCAAAGCCACTGTGAGAACCTGTAAGACTAAGTTTTCTTACACAGCAACAACAAGCATTGCCATTGAACTTGGATTGAGTGGTAAGAATGTCCTATGCTTTCACTGATTTTGTTATTCCATATTCTGGACATAAAACAATGACAGAAGTTCTCTTGCTGGCAACATCACAGTTGCCAGCATGGGGTGCCTCTGGCCTCTTCCTTGGACTTCCGTGCTCGGTGCAGGGGCTCCTCCCTGAGGCTTTGCAACCAAGAAACTTTGTTCGGTTCTGACACTCTTTCTTGGGGCCACTGCTTCTATGTGAAGCCTTTCACAAGCACAATCCTGTTTTAAAAGTGTTTTCTGCTTTGGTCTTTGATCTTAAAGGATATAGTCCTAATTTGGTGAAACAGTTACATTTCATGATTTCAGATTATAAAGTTGAGGATCACAAAGACTACAGAACTGCCTCCCCAAGTGCAACAGTTCTTTTGTAGTAAATTCAGACAAGTAACTCCTGAGCCATGGCTCAATGGCTCAATGTCCTTTTACTAGAAAACGGAAATTTCAGGCAGAAAAATCACTTATAACTCAGGTATAATAATGAGAAGTGTGAAGCTCAGCACTGGGGGCTGTCACCTTGTGAAAAGCCCAGATGTTCTTTTGTGGCAAAGAAGGACAAACATGTCTTCATTCTTTGGGTGCCTTACCTCGATTTGAGGTGGTCTGGCTCTCTTCCCCCAGGACATCCTCTTCTCCTCCATAGGTACGGATGGGCGAGCGGGCATAGGAGTGCTTCTGGATCAAGCTCTCCACACTTTCCCTAGGTGACAGAGTGACATGCATGAACTCACTACAAAGCCAAGTTCTCAGCGCTAGAGAGGGGCCTTAAGAATAATTCACTATGCAGTAAATCCCTTTTCTCAGCCAAGAGGAAACCACTTCTGGGAAAGGTAACATTCAAAATTTGTCCATTAATTCTGTTGTAGAGTGACTCCTCAGACAGGATCTCAGGCGCATAAATGCAAGCCAACCCAACTGGGGAGGGTGAGGGCCACCCCCAAGACCCTACAGAATGGAGGACAATGCAGTGAATAAGGCCACAAGACTATGGAATTTAATGCTATGAAAAAGACTGAGCGAATGAATTTACTAAGTAGGACAGCAGTGAACCTTCTTACTGACTTCATCGGCTAATGAAGACAAAACAAAATATTCAATTGATGTGAGCTGCATTGATTTGACATTTGACGAAATGTTGGCAAAAAGTTCAAAATATCATTCATAAAAATACTCAATGTTAAGAAAAAAAAAAGACTCAGTCTTCACTACCAAACTAAACAAATGCATAGAGTACACACACAACTGTATTAGTTACTTTCCTTGTCTTGGGATGCAATACCCAATACCTGCAACTTAAAGAAGGAGAGGTTTATTTTGGCTCACGTTTTAGAAGTTTCAGAACTTGCATGGGCGGCAGCATGGTAGAAGGGCCTGGGTGGAGGAAAGCTGGTCATGTCATGGCACCCAGGAAGCAGAGAGAGATGAAGGGAGGAAGTGGGAAGGGAGATACACCTGGAAGGTGTATGCATCTCTTCCAACCAGGCCGCTAGCAGATCCCACCTCCTAATATCACATTTAGCTATATCACCCCATAATCCAATCACTTTTGGGGGACATTCAGATAGAAACCATAACAATGACAATATGGATAGTTTGGATAATGGACACTTTTGAGATCTATGTTGACTCAAGACCAAAAATTAGAGAAAAACTATGAAGGAAACAAATGGCCATGAAGACATTTAGGACCCCAGAAAAATCGGTACATTGTCTTCATAGAAGGACTTCTTGCAACATAGTCTATGAGTCAAAGAATGTGGTTAACTTTAAAAGCAAAAATTATTTTGGTATTGAACAACTTGATCTGCTGCTATTTTTTTTAAAGCCAACAATATATTCATCAAATATGTTATTTTTCAAACATGTATCCCAGTAACAGATTATTTTATTTTTTATTAGTACATGTTTGTAGTAATAGAAATGGTTGTGACCTATAGATCAGTGAATTAGCCATGATAGAACAAGAAGAGGAGAAGTTTTTTTTCTGGTTTTAAATGAGGAAGGACAAACCAAATACTGGATTTCATAATGAAAGAATAAGGAAAACAAATAAAATGTTACAATGATTTTCCAGAATGTAACGCTTAACATTTTACATAGACACACACCTGTGGTAAAACACTGAGAAAACAGTCTTTCCCATTAGGTATAGCATAAAACCTCTCTGTTTTAAAGGGCCTTTTATCAGACTGCAAAGATTCTCTTTTATTTCTCGTTTGCTAAGAGTTTTAAATCTGGAGTGGATGTTGGATTTTCAAAAATGCTTTTCCTATGTTCACTGAAATGATCAAATGAATTTCTGTTTTAGAAATTATACTGATTGAACTTCAAATGGTAAACTAACCTTGCATACCTGAGCTAAGTCCTACTTAGCCATGATATGTTATCCTTCTGTTGTAAACTCAATTTCCTAGAATTCTGTTTAGAATTTTTCCATGTGAATTCATAAAGGGCATTGGACTGTACTTTCCCATTTTTTAATGTTTCCTGAGTTTCAATATTAAGGTAATGTTTGTCTATTCACAGAATTGGTTTAAAAATGTTCTCTTCTGTTTTCTAGTCAAGCTTGGGTAGACGAGTTATTTCTTCCTTAAATGTTTGGTACAAGTTACCAGTGAGGCTTTCTGGGCATGGGGCTTTCTTTTTAGACTGGTTTTCAACTACAAACCAACAGTTATCAGATTGCCTATTTCTTATTGAATGATATTTGGTCCTTTGTGTCTTCAAGAGACTTATGGATTTCACTTAAATTGTTGAAATTATAAGGATGTGTTCACATTACAGAATAATATCCTTTTATCTTTCCTTTTAACTTATATAGAATCTAGTGATGTAACTCCTCCCATTCCTGATAATGGCAATTTGTGCTTCTCTTTTTTTCTTGACCAGTTTGGCTAGCTGATTGTCAGCTTTATTGATCTTTTCTACATTTGAATCCATTACTTTTTCTCTATTGTTTTCCTGTTTCATTGCTTTCTTCTCTAATATTTATTATTTCCTTTTATTCCACTTTGGATATCATTTGTTCTTTTTCCCTCTAGTTTCTAGAGACAGAGAACGAGATCATGACTTGAAATATTGCTTGATTTCTAAAAGAGGGCCATAGCAACTATAAATTTCTCCTAAATAATGTTTTAGCAGTGTCCCACAAATTTATATATTATTATTTTCATTTTCTACCAATTGCTGTGTAAATCATAGTTTTCCAGTCCAACTGGCTGGAACAGGCACTATTTCCATTCCTTGTGTGATCACCCAACAGGTCCTATTTCCTGTTGTCCTTCCCAGTGCCTTTCTCCTTTGGCCTCTGCTCCTTTCCTAACACTGATGTGCAAATAAAGCCTAGGCAGAACTCTCAGGAACAGCCCCCTATAGATCTTTGGAGCTCTTTTTCCTGAGAGCTCTCTCTTCTTTTTTTGTTTGTTTGTTTGGTTTGGTTTGGTTTTGGTACCAGGGATCGAACTTGGGTCCTTGCGCTTGCGCAGCAGGTGGGAAACCACTGAGCTAAATCCCCGGGCCTGCTCTCTCCTCTTGTAGCCTGAGCTGTACTTGTCACTGTTTAAGTCCCCAGCTCTGAGTGCTGAGCTCTGCTCCATCCCCTTTGCTGTGCCCTGGCCTACACACCCCTCAGGCAATCAGCTGGGGCTTCTCTCCCTCAGAAATGACTGTCCTTTCTTTCTTGATGTCCAGGGTCATAAAAAATAGTTTGCATATTTTGACTGTTCCACCACTGTTTTGGACAAGAGAGTACATTTGGTCCTTGTTGCATTACCTTTGCTGAAGGTAATGTCCCTCCTGGGGACTTTCTAAAAAACTCCAAAATCCAGCTACACCCCTAAACCCATTAAATTACAATCTCTAGGGGTGGGACACAGGTTTCAGTCATTGTTAAGACTCCGTAGGTGACTCCAATGGGCAGGCAGGTTTAGGAATGGAGGATAGATGTGTGATGGTTGCTTTTCATCAAATAATCCTCTGTACCTTTTGAATTTCAGATATATGTGTTTGTTTGGTCAAAATTAATTACAAATTATAAAAATATCACGAGACTCTGGTAATCTACTATTGAACAAAAGGAAAAGAACTGGTTTAACACTGGTACTTCAGGAACCTGTTACAATGTATTGATAAAAATAATAATTATCCCATTGTTTTTATGCGGATGTAGTGTATACATGGGAGGGAGTGTGGTACATGGGTAACATTGTGAGCTTTAAATGCATTCATTAAATGGATGAAAGTATTAGGTGAGAAGGGGCACCAACCGCCACCATCTTCACATTTTTTCTTTGTTGCTTCCTTGACCAGTCCTCATCCGTCAATGAGGGTACACAGTATCAACCTCACAGGGCTATTTATTCACTTAAAACATATAAACATATAATTTATACATTTAATATAATAGGCAAATATACAATGTATATAAATATAGACTATAATATATCTTAATATATAAATTGCATATACAGAGAGAGAAAGTGAGAGAGTTGCTACTATGAATGTACATTATTCTAGAAACAGTACAGATAGTAGTAAGCAAACATAAAAAGCTCCTGCCCAACGAAGGAGGGTGGGAAGGTGAGTAGACAGAGACATGCAGTAAACTAGATGATGATGATGATTTGAGTTCTGTGGGAAAAAAATAAAAATACGGTCGAGAATAATGAAAAACAGTGCATTTAATAATGCACTTGAGTTGTTTATAATAATATCTGGCACTCAGCAAATATTAGGACCTTATAAATGTATGTCTCAAGCAGGTAAAAATATTTTATTCTCTGATATGTTCTCCAATTGATTCTACTTATCTGAAAATACCATTTTATAATGATACGGTCAAAACAAGAAGATTTTTCTGAGGTTGAATATTAAGCCAGCAGAGAAGTTGATTAGGATGTAATTTGAAGTTCTATTATAAAATTCTATGTACTCTATTAACATTTTCCTGAGAAAATGGTAAGCCTTATCGAGTCGATATCACTTATTTTTAAAATGTAAACTATTTTTTAAAAATCCTTGAACAAACTGTTGAAACTATTTCATCATTCACTGAGAGGTAGTGGTGGACATATTAAGTGGACAGATCTACCCTCTGATTCATCTCTCCTACTTCAGGGTGCACACCCAAAGGAAATGAAATCAGTATCCCAAAGAGATGCCTCATGCTCATGTTTATTATGGCTCTGTTCACAACAGATAAGATATAGAACCAACCTAAGTGTTCATCAGTGGATAAACAGATTAGGAAAATATGGTACATATGCACAGTGGAGTATTAGCCACAAGGAAAAATGAAATCCTGTCATGTACAGCAAAATGAATGGAACTGGAGGATATTTTGTTAATTGAAATAAGTCAGATATAGAAAGACAAGGACTAAAAAAGAAAGAAAAAAAAAGAAAGACAAGGACTACTTATTCCATCTCATATGTGGAAGTAAAAAGAAAAAGGACTAAAAATATTGATCTAGATGCAAAATAATGATTACTAAAGATAGTGGGGGTGGTAGGCTGCATAAGACAAGGCTGGATTCAATCTGTGCATGCTGTATACACGGGGGGGAAAATCACACTGCATCCCATTCACATGTACATTGATACCTATTAATCCAAAGGAAAGTCAATAGAAAGGAACACCGACATGATATGGATACCAATCTGCTAACTACCATGTATTTTAATCCTTATATGTCCACACCCT